CAATATATATATATATATATATATATATATATATATATATATATATATTATATATAGATATCAACAATGTATTTATGGATATCTGGAGCTCAAATGCTGCTTGTAGTTAGGATGAATACACTTCTGGATCCCTGATAATTTATTCATTGTTGCAGAAAAATGTATATATATTTCTGCCATAAAATCCAGCTTTTAATAAGACCACTTGAATATTTTAGTTTCATTTTCATTAGTAGAAATTCTATTTTAGGAATCTTTATTTCAGTTTTGACTAGTAATTCTCACTCTTAACAAAATAAAAAAAACCAAATATTGATATCTAAGAAAAGCAAACAAAAAACAAATGTGTAGTGTGATTATATGTTACACTGGCCTGCCATATTTTGTGTTTGTGAGTGTGTAACAACCCGGAATGCCATTACTGAGGCATAATGGCTCACATCCAGTATTCAGCCTCAGGAAAGACTAGAAAACTAAATTCAAACCTCATGTACAACATTACTCTGAGGGGTTTGCAAGTATTGTTTGACACAGATTTTTTTCTTACTGAATGTGTTCAACCACTACTCCTTGAACAGTACACAAAGAAAAAATGAGCTGTGTGTCCTTGTATGTTTTTGTAAGTTCTCATTTGAAGCACTCTGTTTAATCAGTTTGAAAAACATCCTTTTCTCCCATATTTCATCTCCAAGGTGGAGGTACTCCTTTCTCTGCTATGCCTCTGCACGCCCCTTTGACAGCAATTTTTAAAACAGTGCAGTGCGTAGACAGAATTAAAGTGTGCGTCCTTTTCACCTTTAAGGAATGAAAGGGTAATTGTAACTCATATGAGGTGAGGATGGGTCACGTTGAGGGAGATGTCTAACAGTGACTATGCTAATGAATGGTCAAAAATCTCACACGTGACGAACCGACACGTTCGGTTTAATGAGGGTGTAGCAGCAGGATCAACAGAGTCAAAACCTCCAATTAATCTATGTTACACAAACAATGTTAACACATAACCGGAGGACATGGTTCTGCTAAGCAACATCCTCAAAACAATAGTAAACGAGGAGCATTTAGATGCAGGGTAAAAGCATGTGCTCTCTGATTATTATTCATTGATTTATTAAAATGTGGCTGGGAGCAGTTTAGAGTGGTGACCTTGAGAGAAGTAGGATCTGCAGCTTCTACTCAGGTAATGGAGGTAACATAGACAGAGGTAGAGAGTGGGTGGATAGACTGAAGAGGGAAAAGGGCAGCGATGCTGTGAGACGGAGAGACGTGGGAAAAGGAGAGGGAAGCACCTGCATTTACAGGCAATCTTGACTTTTCCCCTCGTAGGTATGCAGATTTAAACGCAGGGTTGGTGGGAGACATTAACGCCCCCAACCGCTGTGAGCGAAGAGAAATGTTGCTTTCCGCGCTCTCTGCGGGAGTGATTGGAGGATTTGTGGGACGGGTAGAGGATTGAGAGTTGAAAGAAGAGGCGTTCAGGTAAGATAGTTTCCTGTGGGGATTTGGATAATGATGCCGGTGATTAGGATGTTTGTTATTGTGTTGGCAATGTTCTTGTGAACACCCACTAAAATATAAATCAACTTTATACAAATATATAATCCACTATACACTGCACTGCGGCAACAGTAAACAACAATTAAGTGTGGATTTTCCTAGACATGAATAATGTGAATTTGCAACATTTCATCCATAACATGCACACCAAAAGAGACTATAAATTAAAAAAGTTAAACATGTGGCACACATTTGCCTAAACAATAATATAAACAAACAAACACTGCTCATAAAGCATGCAAATCGCCTTACATGCAGGACTAGGTGTAGCATGCAAATGCTCTATCTCAATTATCTTTCTTTATGTAGGTGTAAAGTCTTTTTGGATATCAATTCATAACCTTGGTAACTCATCTTGTTTACTTCATTTTCAAAAGAAACTAGATAGCCTGCTAAAATAAAGCAATGAAGCTAAGTGCCAAGTACAATGGAAAGAATTCAGCTTCATATAGCTCCCAAATGTCAGATGGTCTCTTACAAATGTATTTGTTGCTTCTAAAGAGATGCTTAGGAACTAAATTCACTGACAAAAACAAAAAAAACAATTAAATATTCAAAAGAAATGGTCCAATTTACACATACTCCAATATTGTACACAGCCCAGTGTAAATGTAATGTGAATATGTAAAATATTTGATTTACAAAGAGCTGGTATGTCTAGAATGGGTGCCAGAAGGTACAAATGTAGGCCATCAAAGTCACCAGATGAAGAATTTGCCTTTATAGACACATTAGAAAGCATCACCAGTGCTTGAAATGGGCGGATGTGGTGGAGTGATTAGAGCAGTCGTCCTCCAATGGGAGAGTTGGAGGTTCGATTCCACCAGCAGTCACATGCTGAAGTGTCCCTGGGCAAGACACCGAACCCCTCATTGCTTTTGATGTGTGTCCCATCGGTGTATGAATGTGATAAAGCACTGATTAGTCTTTGTATATATCTAGTAGAGAACTGTATGGATGGGTAAATGAGGACACAGATTGTGTTGTAAAGCACCTTGAGTGTCTTGATAAGATAGGCAGGTGCTACAGTATATAAGTACTGTCCATTTACCATTTGAAAGGGATTTGATAGGGGTCACATGGTGGATTTTTATGACAGGGTAATCATTCTGTGCAAATGCAGAGCATATTAGTTGTACAGATGTCACAGTGGTTGGATATGAGATGTTGGAACCACTGGGTACTTGAATGCAATGAAACAAGTTGTGAAGGTTTTGCTTGTCCAAGACAGTCCACACTCAGGGAGGATTGTCTGTTTGCACACCAAGCATTACAGCACTCTGTGACTATTGTGTGTATTGGACTGTTTTCAACGCTTCGTGTCATCCTGTATCACTTCTCGACAGCACCCAGGCCACAGGTTCACTGTTCCATATGGAAATTGCCATGTACATCAAAAAGCAAAGACGGTTGACTTTGTACTGGTGCCTTAACCAGAGGTCAAATGGATAACAAGTGGCAACATATCATGTTCAGGTATGAATTTTAGTTTTGTCCTCCTGTCACAAGCCAGGTCCATGATCATTCACCAATCAAACATGTGTGATAAGCTCAGATCTAAACTTTACCAAGTCCAAATCTGTTGGTTATCAAGGAGCAGCTACACCAGCTGAGGGCCAACTTGTCACAGGAGAGCAGAGCAGCTGTAGGACTACGATCCTCACCAAATTGCTGTTTGTATTCTGACCCAAGGGGATGCCATACCAGATCCATTTTATATGATACTGTAATCATTGTAATACAGTCGTATGGACTTTCAACACTTAATGCTTAATGCTTAATGTTTTATTGTCAGTGAATGCATGCTGTAGTTTTCTAGTTTGTTCTAGTTAATTCCATGTAGGGTGTCACTTCTCTTTGGGATTTAGTATTTAGGATTTAGTTTTCACAGACAAAAAGCAGACAAGCGAGGCAAAGTTAAAACATGGTACTTACTCAGGTGAGGGTTGATGGGAGCTGTGAAGGAGAATTGCCAAATACAGTCATTAGTACAGAATATCATTGTCTGTCATTATACGAGAAAATCATTAAATAAGCACACACAGATGTAGAAGCACCCATAAAGTGTCTAATTTCTGTGTTTCACTGTAGGCTACACAAGCATATACTGCATTCCACCCTTTTCATCTTGCTGTCATCTCCTTGTGCGACAAAGTGGTAAGAAAACCATATGTATGTAAAGTATTGCTCAGAGATTGTAGGAAACATCTCCCTATCAAACCAAAACGCTGGAAAAAAATGTGTTTTTGTGCTGCAGCAATCATCTGCCTCATATTTTATTGATTACTGAGAGAAGAAAAAAGATGTCTGAGATCTGAGGAGGGAAAGGTAGCAGCAGTCATTCTTAGACTAGCTAATGTAAAAGACAGGATTAGGAGGAGCGCCTGATCACATTAATAAGCTTATAATGCAACCTCTTATCATTACTGCCACGGCTGATGTTCTTGTCCAAGGTGACTTCCATTTAGGAAACTAAGCCTGTTTCATACTTCCATTTAGAAGCCAATAAATCATAAAATGAGGGATAATCGCAAGTGTGGCAGCTAATCACCTCTTGGCAACATCTTTTCTGTGTTTTCAAAACTATCATTATGGACACTTGCAGCTGAAACACACTTGACTTGCTATCATGTCTGCATGTTTGCATTCTGTCCACCCAAATAATGGTTCAATGTTTCCCTCAATGATAATTTAGGAGGTTTGCTTTCGTAACAAACAATACGATCAAGGGTATCATGCAGAGCTGCAACAAGCCAGTTAAGTTGGCGCCTCACTTTTTGCAGATTAAATATCATTTAACCTGTCAAGAAGATTCATGGGCATTTTCCTGATCAATTGCCGAACAGACAAGAAACATAAGCTTCACTACAAAATGGCGTTGTGTGATTTATGAATCCTTCCTGTTCATGAGGGGAATGGATTTGAATCCAGACAATTAAAGTGAGTAATAACAAATCTTTCCTCCCAGAAGAAAACGTGTGGTGAAGAGCAGAGGGATGTTAATAGAAATGGTCATTTTTTAAATAACAGTACAAGAAGTGATTTCTGTTTATTATTGTGTTGCTAATGGGAATGCATGTTACTTGAGGGAGAAAAGATAAGTACACCAAACAGGAGAAAAGACCACAAACCTGGCAAGAAAAAAAATAAAAAATAGAAACGCTATTTCATTTTGTACCCTCATTGTGTTGAAGTTAATGCATCCCAGCATTCACTGCTTCCTACTGAATTTACACCAGACCATGAAAAGCAGCACAAACTGCAGAGGGACAGGAAATGATCTGGGCTGTTGAGGAGAAAATGTTTTAAGTGACAACCGACAGCCTCAGGCTTGTGAGGAAGATCCAGAATTTTCTGACAACACTCAGCATCCATCCTGCCGTCTCCACTCCGTTCCATCTCAAACTTCCTCCTTTCCCTCCACAGTTCCCCTCATCTCCCAAATCCTTCCTTCCTTCCTCTACTTCCCTCTTTCCGACACTGCGGTTAGGGAAGTATGTTTTTGTTGTCACTTCTCTTACCTGGAGCTTCTCCTGGCCGACTCCCTGTGCCTCAGTCTAGCTTAATGTGTCTGCTCGAGCGGTGTCTCTACCCTCACCGAGGAACTCGAGCAGAGCAGCGATCAAGCCCCGAGGCTACTTCACTACTGCTGTGTTAGCGCACACACTCTCAGAAAAAAAAAACATGCGTGCAAACGGATAATTTAACTTTCATTGAGAATGACTGTAATGAATATGGGGGAAAACAAGGAGTAGCATCAATTTAGACAGAGATCTGAGTCAAGTGTTTAAATATGCTTTTTATCCTAACATGATGTGGCATGTTACTGAAGTGTTGGCGTAAAATGTCTATGAGAAAGCTGAAAATGTTGCAAATGCTAAGATTTCCTTAACTGGTGGTTCAACAATTAGAAAAGCTCTGAATAATGATCGAGAGTGTATGAAATATATTTCTATCAGTTTCAACACAGCAAAATATTTTCTGCTTATCTGTTCCTGCTAGTGTGGGGCAGGGGTGTCCGAACGTTTTCACATGTGGGTCAAAACTATCCAAACAAAAAGACTCGTGGGCGACAAAAATATGAATTTAACTCAACGTGAACAATATTTTGAAGAAAGGACAAAAGCTTACTAATTTTTGGTGGAGAAAGTTTTAAATTGTTCCAAAACATTAAAAGCCTCGTAAACAATAAGTTTATAGTTTTTTTTTTTTATGAAAAGGATTTGATTTATTTGATTTCTTGGGTCTATGTTTTTGTTTTTTTTCCTTTTTACTTTGCGCTCATCAATAAAATTGTAATTTGAGTAAGTGTCCTTTTAAAAGGGGGTCGATCAGCCTTGTGGACCATGGACGACCCAAAAGGCAGAAGAAAGTTCAGAAAAAAATCATCCAGCTGTCAGTCGCTACAACCGATTCACAGAAAGATTGATAAAGTTGATCAACTTGTATGTAGATGATACCACGTTATATTCATTTAAAATGTCCACTTTCCCTCGTGATTATTTTATCAACCAATATTTAGCCAAGTTTTGTGAATCATTATCTAAAAGTCTCCTCTCTGGTAGAAATCAGTAAATGTTTTTGATGCTTTGTACCATGAAGTGAAAATAAAAAGATTACAGCCAAAAGTTTGTATTTTGCTTAATATTGCTCATTTTGAGAAGTTTGTTTTTCATCTATTTTGCTGTTAAACCAAAACATTATAGAAAAAAGGATTACCAATAAATTTGCAGAAAGTCTGAAAGCTTGCTGGCCAAAATGATACAATTATTAAACTGCAGCTGTGGGACGCTCAATATCACTGCAAGGGCCGTAAATGGCCCTCGGGCCGCACTTTGGACACCTGTGGTGAGTATGATTTTCATTGGTTCTATGTACGATAAAGGATAGTCCCCACCCCTGTCTGTCAGTCATCTGTAAACAATGTTGGGAGGAAAAGAACCCCTGAACTTCCTTCCTAACTAAACAGTTGTGAAAAACAAAAAACGGTCAAAGCTTGTCTACCGGAGGCGAACTACTCATCCCACTTCGAAGCAATAGTTCAGATCTTTTTTAAGGTTGGCTTCTGTGAAAAGGTTATGAACAATTAATATCACCTTGTTCAAAGAGCAGGAAGCTCTTCAAACAACCACAAATTGAGGAAAGAAAAATAAAAGAGTTGAAGCCTGACCAGACTTTAAGCTGACAGCTGGTCTTAGGAGGACCAAGACTAAAGTAGATTGCTAATGTAATAAAAACTGTAAAAAAAGAAGAAATGATTAATGCAAATGCCATTTTATAAACATGGCTACGAGTTTTGCTTTACATTTGTTGTTCAAATTGAGTTTTTGGTCTTTGCAAGCACATTTAACAGCAACAGCTAGCTGTAGCATATATGCTGCAGCAGGTGCATCTCAAAAAATTAGAACATTGTGAACATTTTCAGTTTCTTTTGTCAGTCATTTCAGAAAATAAAATTCATTTATTGCATAGATTCATTACACAGAGTGAAATATTTCATGCCTTTATTTCTTGTAATATTGATGATTACAGTTTACAAATAATGAAAAACCAAAATTCAGTGTCTCAGAAAATTAGAATATTCCACAGCCAGCTTCTGGTACCTTTGTCAGTGTGAGCAGGAGACAAGTCCTGCTGGAAAATCAAACCAGGATCTCCATAAAGCTCGTCAGCAGATAGAAGCATGAAGTCTCTAAAATGTCCTGGTAGATGCTGTGTGGACTGTGGACTTCAGAAAACACAGTGGACCAACACGAGCAGAGGACATGGACCCAAACCATCACTGACTGTGGAAACTTCTCTCTGGACTTCAAGCAACGTGGATTCTGGACCTCTCTACTCTTCCTCCAGACTTTGGGACCTTGATGTCCAAATGACATGAAAATTTACTTTCATCTGAAAAGAGGACATTAGACCACTGAGCAACAACAGTCCAGTTCTTTTTGCCCTCAGCAGGTAAGACACTTCTTATGTCTGGTTCAGGAGTGGCTTGACCTGAGGAATGAGACATTTGTAGTTCAGGTCCAGGAGTTAATCATCCGACCATAGTGTGACACCAGAAGTTTAGAAGATTGAACTTCCTCATAATATTCTAATTTTCTGAGACACTGAAATTTGTTTTTTCATTATGTTGTAAGACATAATCCTCAAAATTACAAGAACAAAGGCTTGAAATATTTCACTCTATGTGTAATGAATCTATATGAGTTTCAAGTTCTGAAATGATTGACAAAAAAATGCACTTTCTTACTATATCCCACTTTTTTAGATGCATCTGTATTTTCTTTCTGCCAGAACAAATATGTGATGCACAACTGAAAGTCATGTAAAGGTGTATAAAAAGTGTTTGAACTGTTGAAAAGCTATTTGAAAAGCTTCTGAGCTATTTGAAACCCTGTGTGATTAACCATTAGCTCATCAATTCAATTAGAACTAAACTGTTTCTCCAAACTAAGGTCATTCAAAGAATGATTTAAAACTATTAAGACATTTATTCTTTCAGAAAAACACTAAACACCCTTTCACAAAACCCTCTTTAAAACATCAGAATTACCCCTTTAAGGTAACACTGTTTTAATCATGTAATAAATAGTCTACTGCAGCCTCGGCACAGAACCTCATCATCAAGATAAACAACGAGCTGACATCAGTTTGCCAAGTTTTTAAGTGTACTTTACAAACAAGAGAAGAGCAAAAGAGTTATAATCTTTGCATTAAGTGCATTTAATTTATTACTATAATTTCATTTATCTTGTGCTGATACTCTATTTCTGTTTAAGTCTTCCATTTTCTTGTGTTTATTAACAAATCACAACGTTTCACAAACCAGTCTGCTGAATTTCTGGTGTTTTTTTGGGCTCGCAACGTTAATTACAAAAAGAGCCTGACTGTCAGCATGTGTTCTTCCACTTGGCTTATACATATTTTACCGTGCCTCAAATCAAAATAAGTACAAA